CAGATGTCATTCCGGATGTCCTTCTGGACGAAGCCATGGTGGCGGGGGCTAAGGCAGAGGCAGTAGGGGTGATCAGGCAGGCAGGCGAGTGGTAGGGGGTGATCAGGTAGGCAGGCAGGCAGAGGCAGTAGCTACTAGAGGGCCAGCTTGCAGTTGGACATCCCTCTCACAATCCAGGACCTCTGGCTCCTAACTGCTCGCCTGCCTGCCTGCCTACCTGATCACCCCCTACCACTCACCTGCCTGCCTGCCTCTGCCTCAGCCCCCGCACCTGATTAGCATCTATAAGCTGGCCCTCTAGTAGTTACAGAATATGCTTGATATGATTAATATCTTATATTTATTGAGACTTGTTTTGTGTTCTAACATGTGTTCTATCCTAGAAAATATTCCATGTGCACTTGAAAAAAATGTATATTATGCTGCTTTGGGATGAAATGCTCTAAAAATATCAATTAAATCTATCTGATCTAGTGTGTCATTTAAAGCTGCTGTTTTTTTTAATTGATTTTCTATCTGGAAGACCTATGCATTGGTGTCAATGTGGTGTTAAAATCCCCTACTGTGATTGTATTACTGTCAATCTGTCCCTTTATGTTCATCAAGATTTGCTTTATGTTTTTAGGTGCTCCTATGTTGGGTGCATAAAGGTTTACAAAGTTATATCATCTAATTGGATCATTCCCTTTATCATTATGTAGTGTCCTTCTTTGTCTCTTACTATAGACTTTGTTTTAAAGTCTATTTTTTTCAGATATAAGTAATGCTACTCAAGATTTTTTTCCCTTTCCATTTGCATGAAATATCTTTTTCTATCCTGTTAGTTTTAGTCTGTGTGTATCTTTTATTCTGAGGTAGGTCTCTTGTAGGTAGCATATATATGGGTCTTATTTTCTTATCCATTCAGCTACCCTATGTCTCTTGATTAGAGCATTTAAGCCATATAATTTAAAGTGATTATTGATAGGCACGTATTTATTGCCATTCTACTTTTTCTTTTAATTATGTTCCTCTATGTTGTTTTTAATCTTCTTTTTCTTCAAAAAGAAAAAAAAGAGAAAGACCCTTAAAAATTTCTTATAATACTGGTTTGGTGGTAACAAACTCCTTTATCTTTTTCTTGTCTGGGAGTTGATTTCAAATTATAGCCTTGCTGGGTAAAGTAGTCTTGGTTTTAGGTCTCTGCTTTCCATCACTTTGAATATTGCATGCTAATCCTTTCTGGCCTGAAATGTTTCTGTTGAGAAATCAGGTGACAGCCTATGGGCCCTCCTTGTAGGTAACTAATGGTCTTTTTCTTGGGGCTTTTACAATTCTATTTTTTTAAACCTTTGCCATTTTAATTATGATGTGTCCCAGTGTAGGCCTCTTTGTGTTCCTCCTATTTTGGACTCTGTGCTTCCTGGACCTGTTTGTGATTTTCCTTCACCAGGTTAGGAAAGTTGTCAGTCATTATTTCCTTAAATAGATTCTTGATGCCTTTCTCTCTCTCATCTTGTCCTGGTACCCCTGTGATATGGATGTTGTTATGCTTCATGTTATCTCAAAGGTCCCTTAAACTATCCTCGTTTCTAAAAATTCTTTTTTCATTTTCCTGGTCTAACTGGGACATGGTCTAACTGCTGCCTTGCCTTCCAAATCACTCCTCTGCTTCATCCAACCTACTATTTATTCCTTCTAATGTATTCTTCATATTAGATATTATGTTCTTTATTTATGACTGATTCTTTTATGGTTTCTATTATTTTTTATGCATGCTAACTTTTTGTTGAAGTAAGTAAGTTCCTTGAGCATCCTTATATCCATTTTTTTTTAACTCTTTATCTGGTAAATTGCTTGTCCCCATTACCTTTAGCTTTTTTTTTTTCCCCTGGAGATTTCTTCTGTTCTTTCATTTGAGACGTGCTTCTTTGTCTCCCCATTTTTGCTGCCTCTTTGTGTTTGTTTCTATGTATTAGGTAGCTCTGCTATGACCTTGTGTCGTAGGTGTCCTGTGGGATACCCAGTGATGCAGTCTCCTTGATCACCTGAGCTGGGTGCTCCAGGAATGTCCCGTGTGTGGGTTATGTGGGCCCTCATGATGTAATTGGGTGTTTATTGTTATTGGCTCATTGTGTGTGGGTTGACTTTCAGGCTGGCTGACTCTGAAGACTGACCCTGACTACAGTGTATGAGCTGCTGTGTAGGTGCTGACCACACAAGGCAGAATTCATATCAGCAGGGTCTGATGCCTGAAAAGATCTCCCTTTGTATACGCTGCTTCTGAAGCTAATTGTATCTTGCTCTGGTGTTTTCTGAAGCTGTTGGTTTTGGGCCTTTTGAGAGGGACTCTGGTGCCGGCCAATGTCAAACACTGCCTGTGACTGGTTCTCTGTAACTTGTTTGAAGCTACAAAGTGATTCACAGTTTGTGGTTGCTTCTGCTCTAGGCCTTAGTGTGTGGGGATGACCAAGCTGTTCACTGAGACTAGCCTTTACCAGCAGGTCAGCAAAAACCCCCAAGGCACTCCATGATCTACCTTTGCCTGCCTCTGCCTGCCAGCTACCTGATAGGCTCAGTCACTAAAAGAGCCTCTGGCAGTGTTTGAATTGCATGAGGTATGTTCTCAGTGAGTCACCAAGTAGGGGCGAGTGGGGTTCACCATATTGATGCAGAGTCAAACTCAGTGCCAGTGCTGGGTGTGTGGTCACTCAGAAAATGTCCCAGGGTATACCATGTCTAGCTGCCACTTGCTGGATGCCCATAGACACTTGTGGTGGGGCTGAGTCTCAGGGAATTGTCAGGAGGAGGATAGCAGAGTTTATCAGGCCCATCAGACCAAGATTTGGCTGAGTGAAGGGAGGGCTCTGCACTGGTCGGGCCTGTGAGGGAAAAATAGCCCTTTTCCTAGAGCCACACAACTTAATCTGTCCAATATTCTCTCAAAAGCCTGAGATTAACAAGGCAGAGCTTCCAGGAATTGGGAGAGTGGGGCTAGCGGATCTCCTGTGAGAGGGAGATGCCAGTTGGCTTGGGGGAAAGTGGGAGGAGTGGCCCCTACACCAGAGTCACAGAAGTCAGTCTGTCCCAGGTCCTGCCCAAACCTTGGCAGAGCAGGGCTACCAGGAGTTGAGGGTGTGTGTGGCCACCTAATGCTTAGAGGATGGTTCTAACAGATCTCCCTTGAGGAGAAAGTACCAGTTAGGTTCATGGGAAATTGGGGGGAATGGTCCCTGCCCCAAAGCTATACCACTCAGTCACTGACCCTCCCTGAGTCTCTACACCCCAATCCCCCAGGCAACTGATAACATCAGTAGGGCATGAACTCTGCAAGGTGAGGCAACAGGGAGTCCAGAGCATGGGGCTATTTCATTCCCCCAGGCTGATGCTTATGGAGGGGTGTGCTCCACTCAAAAAACACAGTGTTTGCATGCTGAAGGGTGACTCCGCACTATGTTCCCAGTGACTCTCTTCTCAGCATTTTTTTCCCGGTCACAAAACCCGGTCTCTCCTCACATGACGCTGGTCTGCTCTGACCTCCTTTTGCTGGAGTCCAGGGTGAGTGGCTGCAAATGTGAAAATGTGCATTGGCCCTTTAGGAAGGCACCTGCATATTTCTAGCAGACTCCTGTATTTCACTAGACGACAGAATCCCCACTGATTTTCACAGCCAGATGACATGTGGGAGCCTCTTCCCAGCTCTGTTGCTCTGTGCTAGGGAGCCAAGAATGGGGCTGAAACCCCATGCTTCTCAGGGGAACCCCTACAGCTAACATATCCCGCCAGAATCTCAGCTGACACCTGTGGGAGTGGGGCCAGCCATTTTCACATCTCCCTACCAGTCTTGATGTGGCTTTTTCTTGGCTATAAGACTTCCATTTCTCTAGTTTTCAGTTGGTTTTTCAGGTTGATTGCTCTATATTTTAGTTGTAATTCCAGTTAGGTTCTGGAAGGAGGTGAGTGTAACATCTACATAGTATACCATCATTTTGGATCTCCCCATTCACACTTTTTACTAGTACTTTATTTCTACTCTGCTTTTATCCATTTCCTGCGATAACTAAAATGATCTCCTATGAACTAATTTTATCCAGAAACATCTTCGATTGCTAAACCATGCCCTTTAGTTTGTCTTCCAAATTCTTCTAAAGTTGGTTCAGAAGTTTTGTAAAAGCAAACCAACTATAACTTGGGCTGGAGTGCAGCAAATGGGTATCACTTACTTGTTTCAGAGTTATTTCAATAATGAGCTGAGGTGGTTATGTTTAAGTTATAATTTGTACAGTGTGATAGTGCAAGTGAGTTATAAACCAAGTAGATCATGGAATAAATATTAAGATCTGGGGCAGAAAACTAGGAAAATAACATCCATAATTGGCAAGTAGAGTAACACTTCCAGTTCTGAAACATGCTTGAACAGATAGTAATATCTGATTTGGCAGTTTCAATAAATTGTGGTTTAAATTCACCATTGTCAGATCACCTGGTTAATTGAGACTAAAAAACAACATGGTTTGATCATATACTGTTTGATGATTTGGAGAAAATGATTTCACCTTACAAATATGACTGTCAGTGGAATCCTCCTCCACTCTTTCTCAGAGGTCATTTCAAATTCTTTTGACTTTTTAAATTTTATTTTATAGGTTCAGCACTTCCCTTTACTATTCTGTCACTTTGTGTTAATAATACTTTTTGGCTATCAACTGGATGTAATAATTTTTAATAAAAGCTGACTTATCTCTTTCTCCTTAAGTGCAGCGATAGACATAACCTAATCAGTGTCTGCTGAAGCATCTTATCATAGCTGGAACATCAGGGACTATGGATTAGCAGCTCTGCTAATGTGCAAAGAGGAAAAGAGCTAAAACATTGCATGCCCTATTTCCTGTATTAGTGCAGGTGTTTAGATATTCAAAGGAACCTTGCAAATGTACATAGATAGTTAATTATTTGTTCAATATCAAGGTTGAAAAAGAAATAGCAAATAATATTTTGAAAATTGATGGATACATCATTTTTACAGAAGAAAATGATCAATGATTTTTAAAGTTTTCCACCAGATAATGAACAGCTTTATTAGAGATATTCCTAGAGCAGGCATGTGCTTTGTAACACAGCTAAATCCATTAGGCAAAAAGAGAGGGCAAACAGAGCCACAATGCCAAAGACTGCATTATGAACATAATGGAATACAGATCAGATGCTACCAAAATACTCAGCTTTAAGGTTCGTCAGTGGCTAAATTACAGTGGATAGAAATTATCATTCTTCTTCAATGAAATTATGTCAAATGTTCCTCAGCAATCTACTCTATAACATATAGGTGTTCAATAATTTCTTTCTATAGCTTGCACAAATGGATGAATTTCTTGAAAATGCATGCATACTACTTGCCATTGTTTATTTTTATTCATTTAATGGAATCCTAATTCCAGTATTTTAAGAAACACTCTGTACTGTTTTCATTGTCCTGCAAATAGATCTTCAATTCAAAATATTTTTCTCTTAGAAAGAGAGGGGTTTGGAATGTAGGATAATAAAATTACACATATACTGAATCCTTCTTAAGCACAGTCACTTCTGTGTTTGCAGGTTTAACATGTTAGAATTTAAGAAGGTTTAAGTTAGATTCAATGGAAACATGTTTTTCAACAGTCTTTCCTTTAAATGTTGATTTTTAGATACTTTGTGAACCTTCAGACTTGTCTTCTAAGAGGTTAGTGTTACATACCTTTTTATAAATATAACTGTTATATTTAAAAAAAGATCTCTTATTCCAATCAGATGAAGATGGGAGAAATCGGACTTCAGTAAAACATATATATCAGGGCAAAATAGTTCAGTTACCAAAGCCCAGGGAGTAACATCACTGCACACATCAGAGGAAATGTCATTGACTCAGTTGCTGCTGTACATCCTGCTCCTGTTGCATCTAAGGTGTTCCCACGGTCTGTTTGATGGATTTGCTTTACATCACTGAGGTTCATCTCTTCTGGCATCCCTGCAGAGGCGAAGAAGAAAACACAGGATGATGCGTGACCACCTTACCATGACACGTCTAGAACAACTCTTAAACCCAAGTGTGAACACCATCGTTTTTTTTCATAGTATTCTTTATGTGTTCACCTGACTCTAAATGATTCATGTGATCCAGGTATTTCTGCTCTTCTTAAATTGGAGAGTCCAGGCTCTTGAATAAGAGTTCTCAGAAATATAGGAACAAAATGAAATGCTATTCTCCCCCAGTTTCTTAAAAGCATTTGGAGTATTTCCCTGATGTCATTAATTGGTAAAATAGTAAAGAAATTTAGTTCAAAAATGTCATGAACTATGACATTATCACTTGTCCTAAAAATAAAACAACTGTAGTAACTATGTGAAATGTTTTTCTTGAAAATAAAACAATATAAGGAGAAATCATTAAATAGGACATTTTTTTGACAGGATCCTTGTTGGAAATATATGAAAGAATAATAACTAATATTATATACTTTATATACATACAAAATTTTGGGGATGGGGGTGTAGAGATTTGTCGATAGGTAAAAGAATTTGTTAATAGGGTGACCTGGAGGTTAAAATCAGAAGTAACGTGTTTAATTTAGAGTGGGCAATATCAATCAAGATCCAGTCATCCTGGTTATTACTTCTCTGTGTTATGAAACTTGACAAGCAGAGGAGGAGACCAGCTCCCAAATTTTGGGGACAAAATGATCAGTTTCTTAAAGAAGTTTACTGTAATATACCTAGGAAATTACTAACTTATCACTTATTATCTAGTGCCACCAGTGTTCTAAGACCATGTGACTGTCTGGATTATCTCATGGCATGCCACTATCTGTCATAATTAAGTTTAAATTTAATATTGTTACAGCCACACATATTGACATCATAATTATAGTGAGACTGAAAAAAAGCTTTTTATAAGGAAAAGTCAGTATTTATGTAATTAGGCCAATACATATATATAATTCAGAAGATAAGCTCTATTGCACTCAGAGCATTAAAATGAAGTGCAGCTCTACTGATCTACCGTATTGATTTTACAGTCTGAGCTCTCGCATTATTATTCATTGTTTGGGTACTTGTTTTGCCCTTCTGTGTCATTAGGCAAGATGAATAAACTAGTGATTCATTTTTTATAGGGACTGGAGTAGAGTGTAAATATTTTAGTCATGGTTTTATATTTCTTGTTATGCTAGAGCTTAAGAAGGAGTTATGAGGACTCTAGGCAATTACAATAATTTTTTCCCATGATTACTACGTAAATTTGAGCTCTGAGGGCTTTTCTTTCCCTTTCTTTCTTAAAGCACTGTAAAGAGGTGCCAGGATTGTATTCATGAATAACTTTTTTTTAACACCTTTCTGAGCTGGTGTTTCTCTCATTCATTCATGAGCCAGGTACTGGTCTGGGTTCAGGTGATACCATCTCATGAGTAATGATATTTAAGTAGAAAGATCTTAAATCTTATGCCTGCAACTCAGGCAATGCCAGGAAGGATATCCCACTTTCAATCTGATGTCATTTTAACATCCGAGGGAAAGATGTTACTAATAAATTAATATAATGGTGCTAAGGAGGATGGCCACTTGAGATAAGATTTATATGTAAAGGATTGAAGATCCCTTCAGGAGCCTGACAGTCCAGGCTGCAGTTTCTAATCAAATTCCAACCTAGCCTTGACATCCGTTAAGAAGCCTTAGCATTCTGAGAAGGTGAGCCCCGCAATTATTTGATGCAATGATTGTTTTCTTAAAGGAATTTAATTAACTAAGTTTGTAAATTCTATCAAAGCTTAACAGAATACCCATAAAGGAAAAATCAGTTTGGGAATTTATTAGATTAACAAATTAAGCAAAAACAAATGAATCTTTGAATAATGTTTTCTATGCATGATAGTAACTCACAAAGATGCCAATAAATTCATATTTCTGCGCTTGGTGGCTTATGGTCTGGTAGAGAAGATAGTCATGTTATTACAAAATCAATGTAATGTTAAAACTTGGGTACATGCCTGGTGGTTGGTGCTATGAAGCATGTAAAAGGAATGTAATTTGGTGAGAGAAGGCTCCACTAAGGAAGTGTCAATGTGGATCAATGTATTTGGCAATATCTACAGAGTGCTTGCTATAGTGCCAGTACTTCACAGTTATTAACTTGTTTCATTCTCACAACAGTTCCTTGTGGTAGGCACCGTTCTTATGGCTGCTTCTGAGATGAGGAAACTGAGGCACTGGGAGGTTAAGTAACATCAAATATAGTTTGGACCAGCCTGTGTTGTGATCATCTGCTGGGCTGACTCCAAGCACTTGGCTGGACACCAAGAAATCAGTATTTAATTTGGGAGCAAAGAAGGTCAATTATGTTTGCCCAGAGAGTTTTCACTAGGAGAAATGTTTCTCCTTTCTTTATCTAAGATGGCTGATAATGTGCAAGTTTTGTGTATTAATCAAGCAACTAGAAGTATTCAGGATTAGAATTCTTGTGGGCGTATACAGGGTGATGAGTCAGAAGGCTTGATGTATCAGAGAATTGCAGCTTCTTTTGTCATGTATATCCTGGCCTTTTTCCTTGAGGCAGGGAGTGTGGGTATTTCTCCCTTTCTATCTATTCTGATGAAATACATATTTAAAAAATTAGTAGTTCCACTACACAACAAACACTATGTTTAAAGATAATTTTTTTTTTTTAAAAAAAGGAAAATTGCATGGGCAGGAGCTTGTTAATTTGGTCACTCATTTACAAAATTTACCCACTTCTGTCTCGGTCTCAGGTACTGTGCTGGAGACTAAATATGTCCTATGCACTCATAGGCTTTTCTTTTCATGCTTTGAGTCTGCAAAACCACCAGGCGTCTTTTCCACCACTGGTGGACAAACAAAGCAGATTAAAATGTTGGGAGCAGGATTAGAGGTCATTATTTGAATTCAATGAAGTCAAAATAATTTATCTGTAGAAATTATGTTTTCAAGGTAGCTATCATCATGGCACCACAAAAAATGCCTATCACATAGTATGCTGTTAGTGAATATTGTCGAAAGTATACATTGAATAATGACTCTCATTCTCACAACAATAGGATGAGTTAGGTACAATTATTTTTCCTCATTCTACAGATTAGGAACAGGTGCAGAAGCAGTAATTTACTCAAGGTAACATACTGTGGCTGAATCCCAGATGTGTCCCAGTCAAATGTGGTTTTCTTTTATTCCAGAACCATGCTTATTGCCAGGATATAATCAAAGCATTGAATTTGCAGTTAAACTCTGCTCAGCCACAGATTGGCTAGGAGACTTTAGATGTGACCCCCATGTGACAGAATTTTAAAATGTGAGCATTTTCAGTGAGAGAAGGATTGGTTAAAACGCAGTGCTGGCTAGTTAATTAAATAAATATTTTGAAAATAAGCTAGATTCTTAGTTTACAGAATCTCTAAAGTAAGTGCCTATGGGACCAAATATTTAAGTACAAATAATGAGGAAGCAAACAAAATATATAGGTTGATATTTTTATGTTTAGGTGGTGGAAAGCATATTGATTTTTTTTTAGACAGAATCTATAAGAGAATATTAATAGTTTGAATTTCATAATAAAAAAACCCAACAACTTCTGTATAACATGGAAAAGCATTTTTAAAAAAAATTAGGGGGCAATCAAAAAATGGAGAAAATAATGCAGTGTGCATTATAGCAAAATAATAATGTCTTTAACATAGAAAGAGTTCCCATAATCCATATCTAAACTATAATATCCTCATAGAACAATTTTGAAAGGAAATAAAAAATACAAGAAAAAATTATACAAAAAATGAAATTCTTCTTTACTGGAAAGCCAATAAATACAATCTTCCACATGATGAGATGTCAATTGTCTAATGTCCAGTTGGCAAAGGCATGGCAGAGAGCAGATGATAGCCAGTTTGTGCAAGGGTAGAACTATTTTTTTCAGGAATGGCCAAAATCATATCTAATAAAAGAGAAACATGGTAATTGGCATACGACCGCTACCCTTCCCATTGGCTAATCAGGGCAATATGCAAATTAACTGCCAGTCAAGATGGCGGCCGGCAGTCAGGCAGCTTGAAACTAACATGAGGCTTGCTTGCTTCAGTGATAGAGGACTCCAACGTTCCCCGCCTGCCGCTGAAGGCCTCTGAGCTGCAAGCAACTATGTAACAAACATAGAAGATAAACAAAACCCCAGAAACCTGCCAGGCTTCAGCCAGCAGGATTGCAACATTGTAAGCAAAGGCCAGAAACCTGCTTTCAGCAGCAGAGGCCTAAGAGCTGGAGTCAAGCCTCAAAACTAAAGCTGGACCAGAATAAAAAAAAAAAAAAAAAAAAAAGGAGAGGTTGGGAGCTTTAGTCACCCACCAGCCTGAAAACAGCCCTCAGCTCCTCACCCAGACTGGCCAGGCACCCCAGTGGAGACCCCCACCCTGATCCAGGACACCCTTCAGGGCAAACCAGCCGGCACCCACCCATGCACCAGGCCTCTACCCTATATAGTAAAAGGGTAATATGCCTCCCAGCACCGGGATCAGGGAGCCACGAGGCCTCCCGGCACCGGGATCAGCATGACGGGGCAGCGCCCAAACCCCCTGATCGCCCTGTGGCTCTGTGTGTGACAGGGTGCGGCGCCCCAACACCCCCCCCCCCCCCATGGGCCCTGCTCTGTGTGTGACGGGGTAGAGCCATAACCTCCCCATCAGCCCTGCCCTGAGTGTGAGAGTGGCAGCACCCCAACCCCCTGATGGGCCCTGCTCTGTGTGTGACAGGGGGCTGCGCCCCAACCCCCTGATTGGCCCTGCTCTGTGCATTATAGGGGGTGGCGCCACAATCTCCCCATCGACCCTCCCTTGAGTGTGACAGAGGATGGTGCCCCAACCCCCCAATCAGCCCTACCCTGAGCATGACTGAGGGTGGCATCACAACCTCCTGATTGCCCTGCTCTGTGCATGACAGGGGGCAGCGCCCCAACTCCCCAATCGGCCCTGCTCT